CTCTGTGGCTATGTCACTGACTCTGGGCCCAAGAGTCCCCAGGTCCTTCCGCACTGCTGGCCTCCACCTGGGTTCACAGGAGTCTATTGAACATTGTAGGGCTTAGACAAGCATTAACTTTTGCAACCAGCTGTTGTTAGCTTTTAAGAGACTGAAAGCCAATTTAAAAACAACTGTTTTCCTTTCTGAAATGCTTAAGAAATATTAATTTAGGAATCCAGCTTAGGAAGAAAAACTTGTTACCTTGTGATTTCGAGTGTAAACATGAGCATTCATGTTGCTGTTCTCCAGGTGGGCTGATATTGGTAACATGTCCCACAACAAGTCCTTTTTCGCTTTAGAGCTGACCAATAAGGAGGACACCATCCAGCTTCAAACTGTGAGTAAGCATGAGAGATCCACACAGAGAGGGAGGGGGTGTGTCTGCGTGCGTGCATACATGCGTGCGTGTGTGCCTGTGGGTGTGTTTGGGGAGGTTATTAAAATGCTACTGTTTCATTATTTTGTAAAGTGCTGTAGATTGTCACACATTTTAGAATAGTTTGCAGAGTAGCATGTGGCATAATGTTAGTGCTCAGTAAATGTTGCTGAAAGGGTGAATGAGCCCTCAGAGAACTGCAGCGGTCCTCGTGGGGCACTGGTTTAAGTGCTCTGCCTTGAACCCAAAGATTGGCGGTTTGAGCCCACAAGTTTCTCCATGGGAAAAAGCTGTGGCAGTCTGCTTCCATAAACATTCCCAGCCGTGGAAGTCCTGTGGGGCAGTTCTCGTCTGTCCCAGTGGGTCCCTGTGGGTTGTTATTGATGGGACGGCTGTGGGTTTGGTTTGGGTTGGATAGATACTATATGATCATGAGGACGTTTGAATGACATCCAAGAGACCTGAAGGGTAAGTACGGACTGATCTCTTAGTTTCTCTTGGTAAATTGATAGCTTTGCAGAAATCCTGTTCTGAACAGTGTTGGGCTGCTACTCTCTTGACAAAGACAGTCCCTGAGTCAGCTGCTTTGCTGCAGATTGACTTTATTTGTTAAGGATAAAAATGAATATTTTCGTCATTTTCAAAACATTAACACCCTTTTGAAACTGCGTAATGTAAAGATCCTACCGCTAGAGCACCTTTGCTCTTGGGTCTTGGTCATTGGAAATCCGATGGTAGCATTCCAAGGGTAAGGCAGAGTACTCACCTTCGAAAGTGAAAGGGGCACAGTGTTAATTAAAAGGAACTTTGATGTAACATGTCACCTAATTGTGTCATGTTCTCAGACAAGCTGTACTAAAGGTACCAAGTCGTCTATGTACTTTCATGCCACTTGATGCACTTTTGTTTGGCAGGAAGACATGGAAACCGCAAAATATGTGTGGAGACTCTGTGTTGCCCGACACAAATTTTACCGACTAAACCAGTGCACCCTGTAAGTATACCCTGTTCGCAGACATTATAGAAAATAGTGAACATCAGCATTTCCAGTTGCAACTCCACTGTGTCAACAAGGAAAGCAAATTCTATCAAAAGCACACCACCTTATTTTTATGACACTTTTATCTTAATAGTTTTGTTTTTATTACATGTCAAGGTGACATTTCTTCTTCTCCCCCCCCTCCCCCACAATATTTTAGCTTTATACCAACTTCTAGTAACTGTGTGTGTTTGTCTTTAAGATTTCTTTTGAACAAGTTACCAGTTTTTAAAGGATATTCCTCGTTGACCTCTGTATTCCCCACCGCCCACCCCCGGTTTAAAATTAATGCCCTGGTCAGCGTTCTGAGCAATTAAAGTTCATTAAGTTTTGTCTTGTCATTTGCAGCATGTGTGCCCCTTCTTCCTGAGAACACCCTTCAGTTTCTCCCACATGGGTTTCCACTCTGGGCTGTATCCTTCCTAGCAGTGTACCTGCTGTGATAATCTCCCATCTGAAAACCTTGCTCCTTGCCAGCACATCCCCACTGGCCATGGCCCCCATCTCTACTCTCCTTTGTAGTAAAACTCTTCGAAAGAGCTGTACCTGCTTTCTCTCCCACCTTTCACTCAATTTCCCACATCACAGGTCCCTGCTGTCCAGTCACCAGTGACTTTCATCTTGTCGGCATCTCAGGACTTTGCTGACTCCTCTAGTCAACAGCACGTGCCCACTGACAACTCCTTCCCGAGCTCTGCTCGTCCTGGCTGCCAAGATGCACCCCCTCCGCGCCCCCCTTCAGGCTCTCCTCAGTCAGGACCGCATCTTCTCAGGGGCCTTTGTTGTTTGGGTCTTTTGACCTCTTTTCTATCTACACTCATGTTCGAGGGCACTTCATCTGGTCTCATGGCTTAACGTAGCCTCAAGATACTGCAGGTACATTTCTCTTCATTTCTGGCCCCGCCGTCCCGAGCTCTCCACCATTCTACAGCTGTTGTCTTCTTGGCATCTCCTCTTAGGGAACTAAGAGCCATCTCAGATTTGATATGTGTAACCAACTCTTGACTTTCACCTTGTATTGCTATTCCCAATCCTACTTCTTCCCTACGTTTGCCTAGTTTTACTCAGTTCCTCAGACCTAAATCTAGAAGTCCCATTTAATTCCTGTTTCTCCTCCTACACTGAGTTCTTTAGCCTGTTCTGTCAGCTGTAGCCTCAAGATGTATCTGAAATCTGACTATTATATTCACCCCTTCTGCTAACAACCTACTGTCAGCCAGCATGATCCGTCAGCTGAATCCTGGAGCAGCCTCCTGAGTCAGTGCCGGCCCTGTCTGTAGCTCATTCCCATGAGATAGCCAGCTGATCTTACATGAAAACAAAAATCAGGTCCTAGCAGTCTTCTTAAAACTCTCCTCTGGCCTTCCATCAGACTTGACAGTGAGTGTACAAGGCTGGGCTTGAGCTCGTCCTTGCCTGGTCCCAGTCTTGGTTCTTCTCTCCTCTTTCTTGCTTACTCGATTCCAGCCACAAGAATTTGTTTGTTGTTCCATGAATGTGTCCCCCTTCAAGGGTACTGGGGCTCGATCCTTCCTCTGCATGAAAACTCCTCTCCTGTTTTCCCCTCACTGAAGTTAAGTGTCTGATCTTCCTGACTGTGCCCCTCTACCCACTACTGCCTGCCTCTCTGTACCCCCTTTTATTCTGCATAGACTCATCACCACCTGAAGTGTTGTCTCCATTTGTTGACTTGGTTTTATCTGCATCCCCTGTCTGCATACATGTGAGCTTCCTGGCATTGTGTGAAGACAGACTGTTTTGTTTTTTTTTGAATGGGGGTGTGAGTGAAAGTTTACAGAGTATGTTAATTTTCCATTTAACGGTTTATACACCTTTTGTTTTCGAGTCATTAGCTACAAGTCCCTCATTATCACAGCACTCTTCCCCCTCTCCCTGGGTTTACCATTGCCATTTGTCCTGCTTTCCTCTTCCTTTCTGCCTTCTGAGCTTTGGTTTTGGGTAAATGCTGCCATTTTGGTCTTGTTCATTTTATAGGCCTGCATATCGTTTATTGTTTGGATGAAATGTGATTGGTGGGGTAGGATTCAGCTTCAGCTTTGAAGGGTGTTTAACAGCCATGGCCTCAGGGGTTCCACCAGTCTCTCTCAGTAAGTGTGGGCTTTTTGAGTTGTGTTCTAAGTTTTCTCCTAATCTGTCTAGGACCTTCTGTTGGGTTCCCAATCAGAGCAGTCAGTAGTGTTGGCTGGATACCATCTAGAGCTTCTGGTTTCTGGGTAGTGAAGGCTGTGGTTCCTGTGCTCTCTGTCAGTCCTTTGGACTGTTTCCTAGAGGATTTGATTTTCCTCACTCTTCTGTGCTCCTGACAGGGAGAGACCAGTACTTGCTTCTTAGAGAGTTGCTTGCTAGCTTTTACAACCTCTGTCATAACTCACCAAATTAGGATGTAGAATATCGTCCTTGTGGACTATGCTATGCCAGTTGACCTAGATGTCCTCCAAGACTATAGTCTTAAGTCCCCAAGTCCATTGATTCATCCCCTCACGGTTTTTTTGGTTATGGCTAAGAAGTGTTTGTACCTTTCCTTTTGTATGTTCTATTGCACATATGTATATATTTGAAGCACATACAAATACGTAGATAGAAATGTTATCTGGTAAATTTACCTGACCTGTGGGTGTAGTCCCGTTTGCTTTCCCACATCTGTTCAGCAGGTATGTCTGCCTGTGTATCTGCTTGTAGATTACTGTTTGTTATTACTTGTTGCAGGATTGTGTATTTATCTTTGTTGCCTTTAACCCTTACGTACCACTCAATGTGTTCCTTTGCCTTGGTCACATTGTGCTGACTTCCCCTTTATTGGATATGGTTTGTCCCTTCTCCCAGGTTAATACGTGGTAAGAATGTTTCTTGCTGTGTGTAAACGTTTTCCTGAGTTTTTATAATAATTGTTGCGATTAAATGCTGTCAAGTTGGTTCCGACAATAGGGACCCTGTATAGGGTTTCTGAGGAGCAACTAGTGGGTTTGAATGGCTAACCTTTAGGTTAGCAGTGCAGTGCTTATCCTATAGTGTTGTTGTTGCTAACTGGTGTTGAGTTGGCTTGGACACATAGCGGCTCTCTATAGGGTTTACAAGGAGCAGCTGGTGGGTTTGAACCACTGACCTTGCAGTTCACACTAACCTTGGGGTCTAGTGCATTATCCAACTGTGTGGTCTCATACAATATTTGCCCTTTTGTGATTGACTTATTTTATTTTACTTAGCATAAAATGTTCTTTAGGCTCATCCTTGTTAATGAAGTGTTTGCAGAGTCATCATTATTCTTTAACATTATATAGTATTGCATTTTGTGTTTATACCATAGCTTGTTTTTCCAGGTGTCTGTTGGTAGACATTTACGTTGTTTCCATCTTTTTGATATTGTGAATGTGGCTGCTATGAACTTGGATGTGAACGTATATTTCGTATATCCACAGCTCTAAATTTCTCTAGGATATAGACCTACTAGTGAGATTGCTGGGTCATAGAGTCTTTCCAGTTCTAACTTCATAAAAAAGAGCCATGCCGTTTTCCACAATAATTGCACCATTTTACAGTCCCACTAGCATCGTATGAGGATTGCAATGCACACACCCTTGCCAGCATTTGTTGTTCTGTTTTTTTTTTTTTTTTAAACTTTACTAATAATGCTGATGTAGCACTGTAGGATATGTAGTAGACTGCAAGGTGGGTTTGGACCACGGGGACAGCAATTCAAAATCCCCAGCCACTCGGAAACCCTATACGGAGTCATTATCATTTGGAACCAACTCAACGGCACTTAACAACAGCAACATCCATGCTGGGGTGAGATGGGATCTCGTTGTTGTTTTGATTTGTATCTCTTTAATGGCTAATGATCATGACCATTTCTTTCTGTGTGTGGCGTTCACGTTAATGTTGTTGTGTCTTTGGAAACGTGCCTGTTTCTGCCTTCTGCCCGCTTTTCAGTGGGATTGTTTGTCTTTTTGTTGTTGGTGTTGAAGTGTTGTGTACATTTTAGAGCTGAGTCCTTTGGAGAACAGGCTGTCTTGGTAATGGCTCCATTCCCATAGAGAGCCTAGTGGTGCAGTGGTTAAGGATCTGCCGACTGAAAGGTTAGCAGCTCACTAGCCTCTCCACAGGAGATCTGCTCCCATAAAGAGTCCAGCGCCGGAAATCCTGTGGAGTGTTCTCCTCTGTACCTTGGGATGCTGTGAGTCGGCATTGACTTGGCAGCCTCAGCACCCCACTGCTGCCCTGAGCTGCTTCTGACTCATGACTCCCCAGTAGGCAGAGCAGAACTGCTGCCCCCACCCCCCAGGATTCCAGTGCTGTTAGCCTCTGGGAAGCAGACTTATTTGCCATCCCGTTCCCCTGTAACTGCTAGCGGGTTTAAACTGCCAACCTTTCAGGTAGTGCTTAACTTCTGTGCCACCAGGACCCCCATGTTTAGTCTCATATAGATGAGTATGATCATCTGTTTTAGGGACTTATCTATTATTTATATAAAAGGTGACCCCAGAGGGGAGTTTTGGGTCAAGACTTATGGGATATCTCAGGGCAGTAGTGTTGGAATTCCCTAGTCTCAACCAGTCCAGCAAGTCTGGACTTTGTAAGAATTTGAGATCTGATCCACCTTTCACTACACAGTCTGTCTATTGTGGCCCTGACAATTTTGGTCCAATTTTCAAGATCCAGTTTCAGTGCAGCTGCTTTGGACTTGAGCAAGCAGTTAATTTGCTCAGTCCTCAGAGAGTTTAAGATTTTTTCTACTTTTGTCATAGCAACCATTCTAACCCTGTATGTGCTTACTATGTAGCACAGTGGTTAAAGTGCTCAGTTGGTAACTGAAAGACTGACCATTCAGAACCACCAGCTGCTCCGCAGGAGAAAGATGTGGCAGTGTGTTTCCAGTCAAGAGTCCCTACTTGCCTTCTGAGGCAAGATGGCATGTAGGCAGATCCAAAGAGCAG